CGCCCCCGTGCACCCACCGCCCCCCTCCCCTCCCCTCCCCTGCCCGCGCCGCCAGGCCGCCAAGGACGACCTGTCGGACGCCAACGCCGACGTGTGCGTGCTGTGCGGCATCGGCGGCAGCCTGGTGTGTTGCGACGCCTGCCCAGCCGCCTACCACGTGCGCTGCGTGGGGGAGAGCCACCGCGTGGCGGGCGCGTCGCGCTGGCTGTGCCCAGAGTGCCGCGTGGGAGGCAGGGGTGAGCCTGGGGGGGGGGCGCTGCAGCCGCCGCCGCCTGTGGAGCGCATTGCAGCACGTGGGGGACAGTCGCCTTCGCTACCTGCCTGCCTGCCTGCCTGCCTGCCCCATGCCCCGCCCTGCGCTGACTGGCTGGCTGCCTGCGCCGCCCGCCTGCCCCGCCCGGCGCGCGCAGGCGAGGCCGCGGGGCTGCGCATCCCCGTGGCGGCGCGCAACCGCTGGAAGCAGCCACTGCACGTGATGCACGGCACTGTGTGCCGCTCCGCGCCGCCCGCCGTGCGCAGCAGCGGCAAGCACGCCGAGGAGCTGGACGAGGGGCCCGGTGAGCGGCTGGGGCGGGAGGCTGCCTGCCGATAAAGGGCGCCGTGTGTTGGCGCCTGCGCTGCTCGCTGGCTGCCCTGCTCGCCTGCGCTCCCTTTCGTTCTCCTGCCTCCCTGCCCGGGCCGTCTGGTGGCGCTGCCCTGGCTTGGCTCACCCTCCCTGCCGCGTTCTCCCCGGCCCCGCAGTCCCTGCCACCTGGTACTACGGTGCAGCTGCCGAGAAGGAGCTGGCGGGCGCGGTGCGGGTCAAGGGCTCCGACGAGCCGCCCCACCCCTCCACATACGACGCTGTGGCCGACCCGCCCGCCATACACGAGGACGACTATGGTGGGTGGAAAGGGAGGGGGTGGGTGGGGGGATTGAAGCAGGACGGGAAGCCAGCCGGAAGCAGCGGCACACCACAGCACGACCACAGCATGGCCTGGCCTCATTTTCCTTGCCTCCTTCGCCCGCTCCCCGCTCACTCCCCGCTTGCCTGCCTTGCCCCGCAGAGTGGGGCACCGGCCCCGCCGCCTACGTCAACCGCTACCGCAACGCCTGGCCCGCGGCCGCCGCCAGCATCACGGCTGCGGTGGAGGACGCCAAGCGGCGGCGCCACCGCGGCGGCATCTGGGTGCCCACCGGCACCTGCGGGCGCCTGGTGGTGCAGGAGCTGCCCGCGCCGCTGGCCATGCCCAAGTTCAATTGGGTGGCGCTGCAGGTGGATGGGTGTGGTGGTGTTGGTGGGGTTGGGGTGGCCAGTGCTTGGTTGTGTGTGTGTGTAGGGGGGGCAGGCAAGAGGTTGGGGATGGCTGCTGCTGATGCGTGCACAGGCAGCAGGCTACCTGGCCGGCAGCATGGCCAGCTGTGCACGCGCTGAAGCTGCCGCCGCCGTGCCATCCTGCCGCCGACGCGCGCAGGGCCGCCTGCCGGCGCGGCTGACCACTCGGTGCGGCAGGTGCAAGGCGTGCCTGCGCCCCTCCATGCGCAAGCCCTGCCTGGCGCCGGTGCTGCGCGCTGGGGAGGAGGAGGCGGCCGGCGGGCCCGCAGAGAGCGCCAAGTGAGTTGGGGCTCAGGACCGGCTGCCAGGGGCCTGCCTCTGCCGGCACCAGGGGCAGCCTGCCTGGGCGGCACCCACCTTGGCCCTCCTGGAACCCGCTCCCCATGCTTGTCCGTGGTGTTTCTTCACCCCCATACGCCCACCCTCCCCTCCCTGCTTACACGTCAGCCCCCCGGCCTGCCGCCACCGCAGGCTCGGCCTGCTGATCGCCCAGGTGGTGCGCATCGAGCGCGACTTCTGGAGCCTGGCGGAGGGCCCCTGGGCCGGCGGCGGCGGCATGCACTTCCGGCAGCAGTGGCTGGCGGAGCTGCGGGCGGCGGGCACGGTGCGGGAGGTGGCGCAGGCGCTGCTGGGACTGGAGGCCGCGCTGAGGCCGCTGGCCTTTGTGCCGGAGTGGCGCGGCAGTGAGGCGGCAGCCGGCGGCGGCGGCGCCGCCGCCGCGGGCGCGCCGGCGGGCGCCACGGCGGCGCCCGCCAGCGGCAGCCGCCCTCCCTCGCGTGCCGTCAGCCGCGCGCCGTCGGGAGCAGACCTGGAGGGCATGGCCTCCGCGGCAAAGCAGCCCAGCGGCGAGCTGTCTGCCAGCCTGGCGGCGGCGGGCGGCGGCGGCGAGGTGGAGGGCACCGCGGCTGCGGCGGCCGCGGCTCGCGCCGCCGACCCTTACGATGTGCGCTACGAGCGGCCGGTGATGAAGGGGTGGGAGGTGGACCGCAGGCACCACGCGGCGCGCGTCCACGGCGTCAACCGGCTGCCGCTGGCACTGGCGCGCAAGGTGCGCCCTGCTCTGCTCCCGCCCAGCTGGGTGTGGCTGTCACAGCGTGGCCCAGCATGCGCAGCGTGGCCCCGGCTCTGGCACGCCCTGCAGCCGCTCGCCGCCGACGCCTTCCGCTTGCTGCTGCGCCGCCACCCCTGCGCCTCGCTGCAGGCGGCGCGGCAGGCCGGGTGGCAGCCCATCCCGGGCCTGCGGTACCGCAAGCACCGCTGGACCATCTCGCCCCGCATGCACTGGCAGGCCGCCACGGAGCAGGCGGCGACGGCGGCGCAGCTGGCGCTGTGCGTGCGCCAGCTGGAGCCCATGCTACAGGTGTGTCTGGTGGCTGCTTGCCTGCCAGGTGGCCAGCCCGGGCTGCGCGCCCAGCCTGTGCTGGCGGCCGTGCGGCCACCACCAACCACCCCCGCCCGCTCTCTGTGCTGCTTTCCTCGCTGCCGCAGTGGGCGACTGCGGAGAAGCCCAAGCAGGAGGCCGGGGAGCCCTTCTTCTTCGCCACTCTGCTGGGCAAGCGCCCGGCGGCCGCGGCGGCCGAGGACGGCGGCAGCGGCGGCGGCGCCGCCCTGGGTGGCTTTGACTACCTGCTGCAGATCCGGCCGCCGCCCACGCCCACGCCCACGCCCGCGCAGCAGCAGGCCGTGGCGGCCATGCTCCTGGAGCAGCAGAAGGCGCTGCGCTTGGGCATGCAGGCGCAGGCGCAGGCGCAGGCGCAGGCGGCGCTGCAGGCGGGGCCCGGCGGCGCGGCGGGCGGCGCCACCTCGCTCACGCTGGCGGCCAGCCCGGAGCAGGCGGCGGCGCTGCAGGCGGCGGCTGCGCTGCAGCTGGCGCCCTCCCCCATGCAGCACCACATGAGCCTGGTGTACCACCAGCAGCTGATGCTGGCGCAGCAGGCGCTGCAGCAGCAGGCGCAGGCTGGCGGCGCAGGGCCCGCGGCCCCAGCCCAGCAGCCCCAGCAGGAGTCGCCAGAGAAGCAGGGTGGCGGCGCCGCTGGAGCCACCTCCCCGCATCAGCCAGTGAGCCCCTACCAAGAGTTCCTGCAGAAGGTGAAGCGTGAGGAGCAGCAGGCGGTGGAGCAGGGGCAGCAGCCGGCCGCCGATGCTGCAGCAGGCGAGCAGCCGCCGGGTGCCAAGGCAGAGAGCGTGGAGGAGCCGGCTCGGGAGCCTGCCGCCGCACCCACTGAGCAGCCTGCTGGTGGCGACGGGCAGGGCATGCCCGGGCCGCAGCTTGCCGCCGCCAGTGCACCGCCGCAGGCAGCCGCAGGACTTGATAAAGCGCTGGCAGCAGCAGAGCCTGCTGCTCCCATGGACGTGGACGTTCCGCCCGCTGCCGCCGCACCCGCTGCTGCCGTGGAGCAGCCTGCGCCTGCGCCGGCGGCGGAGCAGCAGCAGCAGCAGCCCAACGGCCACGCCGAGGCGGCGGCGCCCGCCGGGCCCGCTGCGCCAGCCAGCGCCAGCCCTACGCGGGCCTCCTCCCAGGCGGCCCCCGTCAGCGAGGGCAGCGCCGGTGCCGCGGAGCTCCCGACTGGCAGCCAGGCCGCGGCCCCAGCTGCCCCAGAGGGCGCGGAGCGGCCGTCGCCCGAGCGGGACGACAGGGCGGCGGCGGGAGGAGGCGGGGAGGAGGGCGAGCGGGGCGCCACGCCCGCGGCGGCCTCTGGCGCGGCGGGCTCCGGCGACGAGGGCGCCCCGGTCGAGGCGCCTGCCGCCGCCATGGCAGCCAAGATGCGGGCGGCGGCGCGGGCGTCCGCAGGCAAGCAGCCAGCCAGCCGGGGGTGGCCGCTGTGCTGCGATGACTGGCGGCGGCCGCGATGCACCGGGCCACGCCGCTGCGACAGCGCCCAGCCGGGCCCTTGCTCCTGCTCACTGTTTCCTTGCCTGGCCCGGCCTGGCCGTGCCGTCCCGCCGCCTGCAGAGCGTGCCAAGGCGGAGGTCGAGGAGGCGGACAGGCAGGCCAAGCTGCGGGCCCGCCACTCGGTCGCCAACCTGGCTGCCATGGCCTCCACCGCCGCCACCAAGGCCGCAGGCGCCGGCGCCTCCTCCCTGGCGCCGCTGCCCGCCGGCGACCGGCCGCAGACTGTGGGCCAGCTGGTGCGGGAGGCGCACGCCAGCCGGGAGCCGGTGTGGGCGCACGAGAGCCTGCTGCCGCTCTGGCTGATCAAGACGTTTGAGGAGCGGGTGAGCGGCGGGGGGGTGGGAGGCAGATGGGCGGCACTGGGTGCGTGAGCTGGTGGCCAGGGCCTGCAGCCTGGGGTGGGGCCAGCAGCGTCCTGCA